AGCTAGCACTATTATAGTAGGGGCTGAACACTATTTAAGCACTTTACATGTATTACCTTACTGAATCTTAGCCTATGAATAGCTACATTTATTTTTTCCAATCTTTAGAAAAGGACATTTTCTCTTTCATCTTAATATTGTAGACACTGCTTATTTGCATAGGAGAATGTTTAAGAATTGGGGTTTTGTAGGGGCCAAATCAGTCATCATAACCAGCAAATTATTTAACCTACATTGCAGTCTCCTCATCTTGAAAATGGGGATAGCATGTTGTTTACAGATTTATTGTGAGAAATTAAAATAAGTTACAAATGAGAGCATTCACACAATCCCTCTGTATGATAAACTGATAACAAATGTTAGCAATTAAGTGATCACATGTATTCGGAATCCATTTCAGACAACAGGAAATAAATATATGGGAAAAAGGGAAACTTTCAACTTCCAAAATGGCACATTATAATTACTAAGTCTTAAAAAAAAGTAATACTTTTGGTATCTAATTAGTGCCTAACAGTTCATAGAATAATAAATATTGGAATTATTACAAAGAAAATGAAAATAGCCAATTATGACAGGGCCCAAATCCAGTTCTCTGAGTATGGATGTATTCCATTAAGGAGTCAGTTTTCAGTTATGGCATTTGGCCATCTTTGTTTCCATATTCCACTCAGCCCATTCTTACCCTGAGAAGATAACTGCCCTCCCAAAATTTGGGGCCAGTACTACAAGGACATGTGCATAGTTCGTCCCCAGCAGCAGCTGAACGTGCATAATTTATCCATCAGATCTGTGCTCTGGCCCCCATAACTCGCTGTTTTCAACCTCTTGGTCCTTCTTTTCCATCCTCCATTGAAGTGCCAAGGCCTCTCTTAGGAAAGCTGCTCCTGATATTTTCTTTTGGTTCATGTCTGCAGCATCTGCAGCAATGTCTCCTTTGCACACCTGATACTGGTTAGAACAGACCCTGACACAGTCATGAAGATGATAATGCAGTGTATGAACAGCATTTTATGACATCATCTATGTTCAGTGGCCATTTATCTTTCAGTTATATGGACTGTTCAGAGAATGTTCCTCAGTAGCAAGAGAGAAAACACTCTCTTCCAAACAAAAGCAGCAGCTACCTTTCTGAACTTAGAACTACCCTACTAATACTATGTATACTCTTTAGCTGGGAGGACTTCAACAAACTGGCTGCCAGGTGTCAGCCTCCCCTCCATAGCCCATGTACAATTTCTAGACAATACTGACATCAACAGAAGCAGCAGAAAATTGTTTGGTCCACAACAGACTCACCATAGGAGTCTTTAGTCATTTATTAATGTCAATGTTTGGTCCAAATTCAGAAGTCCAATTCCCACGAGGGCCACGGACTCTTTGGCCACAATTATGTTGTGAACACAGGCCAACTGTCTTAAAAGCTGTGCCTGTGATCACAGGGAGAACTGGATGGGAAAGGACAAATAAACACAGCCCACCTAACCTTAGAGAAAATTTAAAAAAAAGCAATTCAGAGCACACATTCTACCAAAAGGAGGTAAATAATGTCACCTCTGAGGTGACAAAAGTCAGGTCTTCATCCTTTAGCTATCTAAACAAAGTGCTTATTAGGGTCCTTTTCTGAATAACAAATATAATCTTGAATTTCAATGTAACATTGGAAATAGGGTACTTTGAAACGAACTCCCTCCCTCTCTTCTCTCCTGCTAAAACTGTTAATAGGTGACAAGAAAGACAGAAATGAGGAAGTGCATTTTTCTTACTCAAGTGTGCTTAGGATATGATCGCTATTAGTGGGCATTTTTAATGTCCTGCTGTGGACAAACAAATTCAGCAATCCTTGATGTGTTCCAGCACAGGCTTGAGAACTCCTAGGGAGAGATATTTTAGAGACAACTAAAGGAGCAGCTGAAATAAACAGACTTTTAAATCCTCCAGCTACAGTTCCATTGTTCTCCTGACCAAATTTAATATAAAAGGCAAAGTGTCTGCCCTTTAGCTGTTAATAATTTAGTTATGAAAGCACAGCTGAGGCAAGCATCTTTAACCTTTAAAAAAACAATTAAAATAATACTTGGCAGCTTATTATCTTAGCATGTCTAAACTAGATATGTGAAGGAGATAAGCAGAAGGGTTGAATCAGGGCTAAAGAATTCAGAGAGTTTGGGGAGAGTATTAAAATGAGGAGGCTTTAGTTCTCAGAAGTGTTCACTGAGTTTCACATCCATCCACAGAGAGTCTAGTCCCTTAGGCCACTGAGGTTAGCCTTCAAGAGGGTAATAACATCTATGATCCAGCTGAATTTTTAAATTATTGTTTTTAAAGATTTGTGTTCCTTGGTTAAAGAAAGCCTATTTTAGATGGATTTCTCTTACATGGCACATTAATAGATTATGTATTCACTACGACCTTGGCCATGGCTACTTTTTAATGCTAGGTGATGAATGGGGATATGGCTAATTTGGGCCTGCTCTCTGGGAAGAGAAGCACCACATACCCTCTGGTTGGCTCACCCATAGGCTTGCCACCGTGTGTCTTGGCTGGAAATCAACCTAACCCCAAATGGAAAATGCCGGAGAGGAAAACACATATATAGGAACACATAAAGTGGTTCTGAGTCCATCTTCCTAGTAAAACAAATAGAACTTTATTATCCTTTATTCCTGAAGGTTAGTGTTTTTCATTTCGGTTTTCTCAAAATAGTGGATCACACTGATTTTTAAAAAAATGTTAACTTGTTTTTCATGCAAGAGACAAACCCAGCACAGTCACAATGCATTACATGTAGTCTATATAATGTTGATTCAGGTGCACTGTGCTTAGGATTTTCACATCTCAGTTCAAAGGTAAAGTTGGCCTACATTTTTTCCCTGCACTATCCCTGTAAAGTTTTGCTATTAAGGTTATATGGGACTGTATGAGACTGGAATTGCTTTGTTGTTCTTTGAGTGCTAGGTAGAGCAGCTCAGCAAGGATGCTGTAGGGGCCTAAAGTTTCCTTTATAGAGACTGCTCTTTTAATTTCATTAATAAGTTACAGAACCACTCAGGTTTTATATTCTTTAATGAATTAATTTTAGTAACATTATTTTGAAAGCTGCCTATTTTTCTAAGTTTTTAAATATTTTGACAGAAAGCTGTTCATAATTCTTTTTGTTCATGTTTGCAGCATCTGTAGCAATGTCTCCTTTTCATACCTGATAGTGGTTAGAATAGACCCCGACGTGGCCACCACCCCCGAGTACCAGTGTGGACTTGGCCCAGTGACACATTCTTGACTCGGCATGAAGCAGAGACCTTGGATGTTGTACTTCTACTATGTAGGTGCCATACTTACACAGCACGCACTAGCCCAGGGTGTACCCAAATAAGCCCCAGTCTTCGCAGACAATCAACTGTGTCTGCAGGCTTTGCATCCATCTCCATTCTTCATAGGGGACAGACACAATTTCAGATCTCTTCTTTTCTCCCCCAGATTTCCACTTAGAGCTTGCCTAGATTCCACGCATTACTATGCTGCTTGTTTGACCATAAAATTTTCCACTCAACAGTCAATCTTGGCTCTGTAGTGCCCTCTCCCCCTATAACACACACACACACACACACACACACACACACACACACACACACATCTTTTGACAACTGTTTGCGCTGGGACTACTGCTGCATGTCTGTAGTCCCAGCTACTTGGGAGGCAGAAGGGTCCCTTGAGCCTAGGAGTTCAAGGATAGCCTGGGCAAATGGGAAACACCATCTCTTAAAGCAATGAATAAGTAAAAGACAAAGTGTTTTTTTCACTTTGGCATTCTTGCTAGGAAGTTATCAATTTCATAATTTTTTTGAGAAATCATTTACCCTTTTTTGTGACTCTATATTTGTGCTTATTTTTATTAGTTTTATTCTTGTCTTTACTATATCCTTTCTTCTATCTTATTGTTTATTTTGCTGTTTCCTTTAAATTATTGGAATGGATGCTCAATTCCTTTTTTCTTTCAAATATAAGTATTAAACCTATAAAAATTTCTTCTAAACAGTGCTTATATTGCATTTTCAGTTGCTATTTTCATAATCTTTCCATTAAATTTTCTAATTTTTATAATTGCATCACTTATCTATGAGCTATTCAAGATTATGTTTGTTATAATTAAATTTAGGAGTTAAAAAACTTGACTGAGTTAATGGCTACCCAGACAGCTGGTAAACCATTATTTTGGGGTACATCTTTAAGGGTATTTCCAAAAGAGATGGGCATTTGAATTAGTGGACTGAATAAGGAAGATGTACCTTTGTCCAATGTAATAGGTTCAGTTTAATAAGTTGAGGACCTGCAAGAATACGAAGTCAGAGGAAAGGTGAATTAACGCTGTTCTATAGGCAAGATTTATCTGCCTTGCTTTTGAACATCAGAATGACAGCTTCTCTGGTTTTCCACATCTTCAATTCCTTCCAGCTTTGATTCCACAACTTGCACTAGCAGCTACCTGGTTCTCAGAGCTTCAAACTGGGACTAAGCAATGCCATGGGTTTCCCTGGTTCTCTAGTTTGCAAATAGCATGACAAGGGATTTCTAGGTATAGACAAAGTTTAAATTGTTTCATCTTTATAATGCATTTCACCCTTCTGCTATGAGGAAGCAATGCATTCACATAAACCAGACACTTTTGTGTCCTTCTATAATATTAGAATTTATTGAATAGTATCAGTTTTAATAAACTGAGTAGTCTTGATTTTGCCTAGACTCAGGACCAAGGTAATCCCAAGCTCTTTTATTCCATTCCAATTTTAACTACTAATATCTATAATACTCAAGTCACACCTTAAACCTCACACAATAATATATAGGTTACAAAAGGCTAAGGAAAGGTTAAAAGTGGTCACCAGATTTAAAGAGACTGTTTTGAGAGAGCAAAGGCAGACAGCTGATACAATGCAGAGTCAGCTGACTGGGCCCAGAGCTGAAGTGTCAGATGAAAGATGTCCAGAATACAGGCAGCAGCTTGAAGTGGGCCATGCTTGCATCAGGAGAGGAGAAACTGCACTGAGCTCAAGCCCCAGGAGCAGGCAAAGCTTCCGGCAGATGACCAGGTGGCTGGCTTGGTGCTGCAGCCGTGTCAGTTTTGGAGCTCTTCTCCTTTTATGTCTCAGGTGAGGGAGTTGTACTTGGTATGTTTGATAAGTTCATGTGTCTGGTTTTTCTGGTATGATTTGATACGTCCATGATTTCTTATTGGCATGAATAAGTACTGGAGTAACTCAGCAGAGCACTGCCTGTTCTTTACACCTCCACCACTTGGAAATTAGTAACGCCTTTATGGTACATTAAAAGTATGTTTTCCCTGTTCCTGGCACAGAGCTCCTAAAACGTTCAGTAGTTTTTGAAAGTTAATAGCATCTTTCTTATACTAATGAGCTGGCTGAAGGAAGGAGAAGTGGGGAGCTTTTGCTCCCTACTTTTGTTTCCTACTGGAAACCTAATTCTGCTTTATGTTAAACTCTGTTGATTCTACTCTCATATTTTACATCTCTTCTTCCTCTGTGGTTTCTAAATAATGCCCTCTAACCTCTCTTCCAGTTTACTAAGTCTCTCTTAACCTCTGATTTGTTAATTTTCATTGGATTTTTATTACAGTTATAGTTTCATTCCTAGATGTTCATTTGGTTCTTTTTCCAAATCTGTTTGGTCTTTTTGGTTTTATTTTCCTAGCCTATATTTGCCTTCTAAACATAGTAAATTAAATATAATTAATGTAATATATAAATAATTATATATAAAATATAATTAAATGTAATATAACACTATATTCTGAGTCTGATTATTCCAATAAATAAAATATTGATAGACTTGTATGTTAATCCATGCTTATGGCATGTAGTCTCCTTACAGACTTAAAAACGATAGACGCAGAACTGACCATATTCTTTGGGAAATTATCTCCATATAACCTTTCAGAACTGCTGTACTCTTGTCTCAAAGGCAGTTTCTGTTGGAATACTCTGAAGGTAATATATGGAATGCTATGCTTCTGTTTAGTCTTATACAGAATGTATAGCCCTGTGACTGTTGGTTTTTGGAAAAAAGGTATATTTTATTAATTTCCTCACCTGAGGATGTCCCTTCTGCTTCCATGGCTCACAAAGTCACATAATCCAAAGTTCACTTTTATTAGGTTCAGCCAATAATCTTAATGATGTTCTAGTTTTTCTCAACCATTTAAATGTTAGAAAATACTATTTTGCTAGATATTCAATTTGTTAAAGGGGGAGCTCAAAATATATTTATTGTAGCTTTCAAAATACTTTCATCTGGAGGGTATGTCCTTGATAGGGCAAGAGAGACTCTCTTTTCTTTTTTTAACTCCATGTTAAGAAAAGTCACTTAAGTTCACTTAAACTATAGTTGACCCCACTCTTCACCCCCGCCCCTTGGTTAGTTATCAACCCACTTAAAGGATTGCAGAGTCATAAAAAGGCAACAGAACAAACAGGACAAACTGGGAAGTAGGCTAAAAGTTAAACTTCAATGGTCATTTGGAAAGGTAAACTTTGTGATAATTGTGTGATATTTTTGTACAATTCCCACAGATGAGTTACTATGGAAACCTAAAAATATACTTAAACTGAAGGTGAGACCCAGATGGGCACAGACATCTTCTCTGGCTCCTGGTTAGAGACTGTCCATCAGCCAGCTCAATAAAGCTTTGTTCATTCCTACCATTTCAGTTTTCTTGTGAGTGCTTATCTCATTGAACATGCTTGCCGTATCATCCTAATGTTATTATAGACAGCTAAGTTAGAGAGAAATTAATAGGTAGCCAAACAGGGATGAGGCCCTTCAGGGAGTCAGTGCAGAAGATGAGACACATAAGATTGAGGCTGGAGGTGATCTGAAGAAAAAGGAGAAGGAAAAAGTAAGATTTCAGCAAGAGTAAACTAATTCACGTATTAATGTTGATGCTGGCTGGTGTGAATAACATATAACCAAGGTCGTCACTGGCACATGGCCACTACTGTGTATTTTGGTATAAATGTAGACTGCTAGAGGGCTCATGAGACACTAAGCGGTCGAGCTAGGGATGTGACGACTGCCATTTGGATGCCTGTGGCCGAGCAGCACCCGAGAATACAGATGTCTAATCCAATCCACACCCCGATGTCTTCTTCAGGGTGCCTGAATCTCAAGTGCACCTCTCCGGTCTAAACTGGTGACAAAGACATACCCATGCTGAGATTTTGCTGCATAAAATACTCTTGATAAACAGCCTCAGTGGCCATTCAATCAGGACCTCTCCTGAAAATCCAGAAGCTAGTCTTCTCCTTATTTCCAATAAAACTCTCCTTTGGTTTGAGACTTCATTCCTCAATGTTGTGAGGCCATGAATTTGGTGCATCTGACATCTAACAGGGTGGGAGTTATTTTCCCCATAGCAATATCTACATGTTATTTGACATGGAAATAAATATTTGGTATATAAATTATGGCTACATAAATTATGATGATAAAACTACATCTTCACATTTGGGCCATGATTATTTTTCTTTTCTTGAACAATTTTCCCCCTTTTTTAATATTTCCATTTGTTTATTTTTCTATGTATTAATATGTAAACATCTTCTCAAATTTTAAAATGCATGGATCTTCCATCATATTTAGCTGCAAGAATTTCTCCTGGAAATTCTGACTTGCTCTAGCCTGTAGTGATTCCAACCACTAATTACCTCTTAGCTGTTTCCATTCTCTCTTTTTTTATTGGAATATTTTAGATATACATAACAATAACATTCATCATAGGAAATTTGTACCTGCACATGATACATCTTGTATCTCTTTTTCTTATTCCTCCCCCCTCCTTCAATCCTTCTTCCCTCCTTATTTACAAAAGCTGTGTTTCCATTTTTTTCAATTCTTTTGTACTTTCTAGTATTACTTTCTAACTTAACACTCTTTTGATAGTCAAAAAGCTTTTTAAGAAATGACATCACGGACAATAAAAATTTGATACTCCACATACATGAAAACATTTATATTCTATCCTTACATTCCTTAATAATTTGATTAGGAACTCTAGATAGGGAACTATTGATATCTCATTCTTGTCTGTGAGAATCAGAGGCAGTTTGATTCTAAATCTTTTGCCTTGGTCCTGTGTTGTTATCTTCTATGAAGATGACCTTGTCTCCAGTGTTATGAAATTTCATAATATGTGTCTGAATGTGGGTCAACTTTCATCTTTATGCCAGGATACTTGATAATTACATTCTATCAAGAAACATGTCCTTCAGTTTGGAGGAGAATTTTATGGATAATTTTTCTCCTCCATTTTTTTCTTTCTAGAATGCCTATTATTTGAGCAGTAGATCTGGCACCAGCCATTTAAATTTTTAATTTTTTTCAGTACTGAGGATTGAGCCCAAGGCCTTTGCACTGAGCTGCATCTCCAGCCTTTTTTTAAAAATTTTGAGACAGAGTCTCACTAGGTCACTGAGATGCCCAGTCTGGGCTTGAATTTATGATCCTCCTGCCTCAGTCTCCCAGAGTGCTAGGATTATAGGCATGCATAGGAGGCACCAGTAATTTTTCTTATATATTTTTTGTAATGTTCTGGATTTTTATTCTTTTGTTCTTTCTGGAAGATACTATCCATATTTCTTTTTCTACTGAGTGTATCATTTATGCTATATTTTTCCTAGAGTTTTAAAAAAATGATCCTTTTATCCTCTCTATTTATGGGAATATGATATTTTCTTCTGTTTTTCAGAATACATTAGTTGGAAATATTTTGAGAGTTCTCCCTGCAAAGTCTCTGTTTCCTTTCAGTTACCTTTCCTGCTTGTTTCAGTCTCTATCGTTCATTTTAGAGAAATTCTTCAGATGTCTGGCACTCTGGTTATTTAGCCCATTAGGTCACATAACCTATTAACCTATCTAAGAGCTTAGTTTACGCTTCTGAAAGTCATGGTACGCTAATGGGGCCAGTTTAGGAAACACTGATCTAGCTCATACAGCTCATACAATATAAACAGGAACTTTTTAGGCAAAAGTGAACAGAAAAATGAGTTTTCTGTAAGCCCTACATCCCTGTCCTTTCCTCAGGTTTCTTCTACAACTCTGACTCTCCCTTTCCTACCTCTGTCTAGGATTTCTCGCTCGCTTTTTTTCTACATTAAAGCCAGTTCAAGTGAAAAAAACTGATCATTTTATGAGAATGCAGTATAAATGATTGATAAAGCTAAATATGTTTTCTGATATTTGGCTTTTAAAATGAGGACAACAGCATTTCTTGGAAATAAGCCAAAGGACTTAAATCTTTGGCTATAACTTAGCTAACATCATAGCATAAGAAAACAGGCAACTCCCTTAATAAAAACAGGCGTCTGCTGGCATTGGGGGTAGGGTGGGGGGTCTCCACAAGGGATGAGGTAGCAGAGCCTCATGATCCTTTTTTTCTCTATGATTCATTCTCTCCTTTAGGGTATTCCTCTAATTATCCCTGCAACAGTCCTAGGCCATGAAGATGCAGAGATGCTACTCCTACTGACACTGTGGCCCAAGAATGGGCAGCTCTTCTTCTTTAATACTCTCAAACAGAACAAGGTGACAGTGGTCACAAAAGGTTTTATTAATGTGAAATTAACACAGAAATGGCACGAAAGTAGCTAATCAAGCATTGCAGAAGTGACCTACCATTTGTGGTACTAGCACAATCCCATCAGCTTCCAGCATTCAAGAACATAAACTGAAACAGCCTGGTTCATTTTGTTCTAAAAGCAAGTCATGAAGCCTCAGGAAGAAAGCCATCTCTTACTCTGCTGGCTTAGGTCTTTCTTGTGGCCGAAGCTTCAGACTGGTGGACTATGCACTCTGGCTGATCCCCAGACATGTTCTATCAGCTCTGCTTTAATTAAACATCAGTTCTAAATATTTCAGTTACCAGCACTGAACGTTTAGAAAGATCACATTTTACAAAGGCAAAAACATTTTTTGGCACAAACACATACACATCTGACCTGAAAGATACACACAGACACACAGTTCCTAGTCACAGTCTAGACACATGTGATTCCCGCTCTGCACAGCGATGTTTGGCTGGAGTGGAGCAGCAGCTGCCCCTTTACATTAAGCATGTGGCCCCCAGTTTTCTGCAGGCTCAGTCTGGTCAACTTTACTCAATTATGTTATCTCTCTGTCCTCACTGAGCCCTCGCAAGCCTTGCTTCTGAGCTGCAGTTCTGTGCCTGAGGACCTGTATTTCCCACACGATGAACTGGGAAGAACCAGCAGTGATCACCTTTACCTGCCGAGGAGAGCCCTGTGTATCTCAGGGCAGTGGCCCTACAGACCTAAGTACATATCATATAATAGCCTCAATATTCACATAAGACTTGCAACTTCCGCAAGAAGGGCTAGAGCTCAAGGTCCAGGAGCATCCAGCAACACGTTTAAACATAGATGACAACTGAGTACTGTGTTGATATATTCACTGTAAGGTGAAAATGTTAGTGTTCATGTCCCTGCGATGCTGTATCTAATTACTCTTATCAAAATACGATACCATTATATGAAAAATCCTTTGAAATATGCTAAGATGTAAATGTTTATGTCCCATCAAATTTCATATATTTAAAAGTGACTTATCCAGATGGTGATGCTGCTGGGAGATGGGGATCTGGGGGGATGATTAGGTCATGAGAGAAACCCTCATGAATGGGGTGTTTCCTCTTATAAGAAACCCCAGAGAACTAACTAGTCTCTCCCATCATGTAAGGGCACAGCAAGAAAATGTCTTCTGTAAATCAGGAAATGGGCCTCACAGGACACTAAATCACTACATCTGACACCCTGATCATGGACTCTGCAGCCTCCACAACGGTGAGAAATATGTGTTCATTGCTTCTAAGCTACCAAATGTATAGTATGTTATATAGCAGCCCAAATAGACTAAGACAAAGTAAAATGCAGACTAAGTAAGAAGAAAAAAGCAAAGTATAAAGCGAAAAAAAAAGTATTTTGAATGCCTCAGGTTTTGGCATTAAAGCAACTAATCTGATGAGACTGGTAACTACATTTCCTCTTTAGGAGTCTAGGGTGGCATTTTCATACCTAAATCTCTTCGTGGAAATTGCTAACAATAAAAGCAAATCATCTTAAAGACTCATATTCTAAGGTTTTGTTACTACACCCAAAGAAAAAGGTGGAAAGAACACCACAGTAAATTAATAGAAAGAGAATTAAACCAGGAGCCAGGAGAGTTCCAGGGTCATCCTAGACACGTCACCAACTAACTCTGAGACCTGAGAAACACTATTTCGTCCTCTGAGTCTTTATTCTGTACTATAGAGTAAGTAAAACTAGATGATATTTAACAGATTCTCTGGATTGTAATCACATAATTCCAGGGCAAAGTTTTATCAAAGTACTCTAAATCTTATGTCCAATACATCAAAGAAAACATTGTAAGTACCATAAAAGAAACCCAACATGGTAAATTTTTTGTGTTAGAATTTATCTAGAAATGGATTAGATGGATCCATAAAATGAGAGCTAAATAAATATGCAAGGTACCAGATTAAATTATGTTTAAACTGGAAGCAAAATGTTTTTCCTGTAGATATAACCTTAAATGGATCAACTGGAAACCATACAAAATTCTTCCAAAACAACTATATAAATTTAACTGACTTGAACAGTTATAATGCAGTTTCATTTATGTTCTCCAATGAATTTGTAGTAGTCTTATAAGAGATAAAACAGGAAACAAAATAAAGCCTTCCTGAGGCTTTTGTGATTATAATGCTGAGTGACAGATTCTTTAGAATGAACAATGGACAATGGAATAGTCTGGCCAAGCTAAACACTTTCTGTGAGCAGACTGAGCCTTTATCTCAGCCAAGTAATCATTTCTATTCCATGAAAAATATCAAAATCATGCCAAGTTGTATCGCTGCCACTGAAATTGGAATGGCTTCAACATCCCATAAAAACAGTGACACTTAATGAATTGTTTCAGTTAAATCATGCTGGAGAGGGAAAATAGATGAACAGTTTTATTGTGTTCTGTGTAGTTCAAAAGATATTATCAGCACAGGTAATCACTGGGCACCATTCACAGCAGGATTCCCACCTGAGATAAGCACACCTGGGTCTCATGAACTTTTTGGTTTATGCTGCCTGACAAAGCAGTTAATTCCTGAGGCGAGCAGCTAAGACAATAGGTTCAAAAGCAGCAGCACTAAACACTGTGAAACATCTGACAAAGAAAATGAGCTTGTAAGATAGAACGAGTTTGCACTACCTGAGACCTCATTTTAAAAGAATTTAGATCACTACCAAACAACATATTGAACAACATATTGAACAGTAATCTATAAAACATCTAAAACCTTTACTTAGTATATCAAGAAACACCCAAGAATCTAGTGATCTTTCACCTGCTTGTTTATAAGTTTAGAAAAGAAAGATACCAATTTGTTCTTCTATTTGTCCTTTAGTTCTTTCTTCTGTCTGCAATGAATGGAGGATGAAGAAATGACACTGAATATGTCAAATACAATTGGACATTGTAAGTATAAAATTTAAAGTTCACACTAAGAAAAGCCAATTAAAGACAACTGAAGTTCACATACACCCAACACAAAAACATTTTCATTCGGATAGCTAAGTAACATACATTGATTATTCTCACGGTCTTAGTGATGTCAAAGTCCTCTATTATCTGTGGTTTCACTACATCTTTTGTATTTACATTTTAATAAGTGAGTTTGATTCCCTGAGGACCTACAACACCTCAAGGGGCTGGAGATTTAGCTCAGCGGCACAGCACCTGCCTGGCAAGCGCGAGGTCATAAGTTCTATTCTCAGTACCGGAAAACAAAAACAAAAAAATAATAATAACAACACCTCAAATAACCAAGGAGGACACAGCTTGGTTAGGTAGGGAGATGCGTCTTATAGTTTCCTATTTCATTTCTTTATTCAAAAAATCTCTTGGTCTCAAATAAGACATGGCTTCTCATGCTAAATCTAAACAAGTTTTCTATTTTAGTGCTCCACATTTTCCCTTGGTTGGGAAAAAGGAAATGTTTGTTTTAATGGATGTTGCTAATCTGTCAGTTATTAAATCTGTGAAATATATTAAGGACATTGTCATAGTGTGTCCTTAATTATGCTCATGATTTGAAAGCAAGATTTGCCACATATAAGCTGTCCTTATATAAGATTAAATCTTATAAAATCAAGATTTTCCTGCATCAGTACATTTTCACCGCAGGACTGCTTCATTATACCTGCTGAGTTTTTTCTTTCTGTCCCTTTCTCTCTCTTTCTGGTGTGCTGTGGTGTGTGTGTGTGTGTGTGTGTGTGTGTGTGAAATATAAAAGCCCTTCAATAACCACTCCAGAAAATGCCTTTGCTGATCTTAAAAATACTTGGGCACCCTCAACTCCTCCTCATTCCTTGATCCAGACAGCTTTGTAAGTCATTGCTTAATACCAAAGCACTGTCAGCTCCAACATCAAGAGCCATAAAGAGCCCAAACAAACTAGAAGAGGAGCAAGATAGAAGGTTTACACTGTAAAGGGAAACTCTGGCAGTGTTTCCCAACCATTTCTACCAACGTACACCACAGGCGGAGAGGAGAATCAAGAAGTATGGGGGGCGGGGGACTGAATCACCTTAAAGCCAGGGAATTCTTTGAAGTCTCCTGTTTTACTTTGACAAGTCATTTAAATTTTTAATTCTATCCACATATATCAACATTTTCTTTGATATAATTTTAAAAGAAAATTACCAACTCATATGAAATTTCCTCCAAATAATCAGTTAAACTGGCATATGAGGAAATGTACTGCATTTGTCTTGGGGCATTCACAGCTCCCCACCCCAACCACTGCTGTGTGCCCCAGATGTCAACATAACTCAGTATGAAGCAGGGACATTTAATTTAATAGGGGATAATATTTTCAAGGGAACTCTTCTCCAATTCATCACTATCTGGTATGTTTCCTTATTTCCTCTTCCTTCCTTCCTTTTTTTTTTTTTTGTGGTACCGAGTATTGCACCCTGTGAGTACTAAGCTACAGCCCCAGCCTCCTTTAAATTTTCTTTTTTAGTTTGATTTTCATTTTCCTAATGGCTAAAGATGTTGAACATTTTTTTCATATGTTCACTGGCTATTGGAGACACAATCTTGCTAAACTGCTCTGGGTGGCCTTAAACTCACAATCCTCCCACCTCCCACAATGCTCCCACCTTTTAAGCAGCTTGGATTTCAGGCATGTGCCACCATGCCCAGATATTCTGGTGCTTTTATTTCATTTATTACCTTGGGATAAAAACAGATTCTCAACTCTCGTCTATATGACATGGATAGGACAATGCCACCCCACCTCAACTTTACAGGGTGAACATGTGATCCAGGCCTGGCCAATCAAATCAATGCATTCTTCTGGGCAGAGTTACTGGGTCCAGGATAGATCTGTAGCCCAAGAAGAGGTAGTGAGAGCAATTTCCAGGACTTCTGTGGTGCTGCTTTGAGAAGAAAAATCACTCTGTTTCCTATGGTTACTCGACAGAACGAATATAAGCCCGGGCTGCTGGAGGCAACAACAAAGAGCTGGGAATAAAGCCAACTCTGGAGAAGAGAGCTAAAGCCTGGGAGAAGGAGGACTGATGCACGGCATCTGAGACACTGAATGCAGCCCTGCGGGGGCAACTGCCCAAACTCCAATACAGCCGCATGCATATTCATTTATCCATTCCTCCACCCTTTCCTGCCTCTATCCTTCTCTCTACTTGCCTTCAAAGTATTAGAAATGGGTATTGGTCACTTGTCACCAAAAAGCTCTAACACATTAATATATTTCTTTTGGGGGGCAGTGCTAGGGATTGAACTCAGAGCCTTCACACTGAGCTATATCTCCAGCCCTTTTTTATTTTTTGTTTTGAGACAGAGTCTTGCTAAGTTACCAAGTTGCCAAGTCTGAGCTCCAACTTGTGACTCCCCTGCCTCAGTGTGTCAGAGTGCTGGGATTTCAGGCATGCACCACCTTCGTGGGCTTCTAACCAAAACAGCATGGAAGGAGTGAACCCCAGACGCAGGTATGAGGGGTCTGTGCCGTGATCAGTTAGAAGGACAGCAGCACTGAAGCTAAGGGTCCATGTGGGGAAGTAGTGGGAAACAAAATGGGATAAAGCAGGATGAGCTCACTGGATGATAAGGAGTCTTAGTATCCAAAAGAGTTCAGAGGTTCAATAGAGTTTACTAAATAGTAGACAGAAAAGAATTGGGGCTGGAGGGTTCTATCTCCAAGATAGAGCACTTGCCTATCGTGCATGATCACTTCCTATGACAGAGAGGGACAGAGAGAGAGAGGGAGAGAGAGCAGAAGAGAAGGTAAGGGAGATAAGGAAGGAGGGAAGGAAGAAGGGAGGGAGAGAGGAAGAGAGGCAGAGAAAGGAGAGGGAGATGGAGAGGGAGACGGAGAGGGAGACGGAGAGGGAGAGAGACAGAAAGGAAGAGGAGAGAGGGAGAGCGAAACAGCTATGAAGGAATATGAAGGAACTCTCTAGGAATTAAGAAAATAAGGGAGGACTCGGATCTGGAACAGTGCCAACCTAAGAGGTACAAACAGAGGAATCAATATGGATTAGGGCTTGTTCAGGGGCAGAAAGGGCAGACTACAGGAATCAAAGAACTGACCAAATTTACCCAAAGTAAATCTAAAAACAGGTACTTGACAGCATTCTCAGTATTCAACTCAAAAATGGAAAATAGGTCCCATTACTTAAAGACTTTAGAAGCCTATTCTAACTCCCAGTGGGAGGACAGAATAAATAAAATTAACATATTGTTCATCTTATGCCATCAGACATGCACTACATAAAATAAAAAAACAAAAACGGGGGACTGGGGATTTAGCTCAGTGGCAAAGTACCTGCCTGGCAAGTGCAAGGTCATATGTTCGATTCCTGCTACCGGAAGAAAAACAAAAAACAACAACAAAAACAAATCCTTACATCTTCTCAAAACTTTCAATTGGGCCTGAAAAACTATTGGGACTTCAGCCTGCTTTGACATTAGCTGGGGAAGATTTTTAACAATGAATCACTCTCACGAGTGAATTTACCTAAAAGGCTGTGTTAATTATTAATTGTTCACCCAGAGCCCAAAGGGGACTTAAACCATTTCTCATACTCTTGATTCAGCAACTAGAACTCGACATACTACAGCCAATCCAGCTGGACTGAAAAATCACTTCTTGTCTGAATTGAACCAGTTTCAGACATTTTGAAAAATAGTTATGCACACAGGGAAAAAAAACCCTGGAAAACAATGCTAAGAAGTCATTGTTTTCATTCTGGAAGTCAGAGATGAGTCAAGATTAGATGGGTTTTGTGTCTCTTAAGTGACTGTGATTTTAATTTTGGTTTTTTAGATACCAAGTCAAAATTCACAATGCTGATTACGG